ACTTTGTCATACCTGGCATTGCAGCAGCAGGGTATTCTAAGATGTTTTTTAGTCCTGCCTTTTGTCTCAAGCAGCAGTTTTTTCATCCAAGTTGCCCTGCACTCTTGCCATTTTTACGTCACCTCCTCTCCCTTACAGCACATTATCAGAACAGCCGGCTTATGGCATTCAAAATACTAGTAATGCTGTCGCCGCTTTCAGTCTAAAGATGTTATGCTCAATTAATCACAATCAATTACAAAAAAGAAATGAGACAAACATAATTACACTTGCTATATCATACCGGGATAAAACCCTAAACTATATCAAATCAAAGTATTGTGATTATATTAAGCTTCAAATTTTGTAACTGGAATTTGTAAACATCTATCCTAAATAAATCCGGACAAAGCTTGGCTGCCTACATATGAATGTGGAGCGTGTTTGTTTGGAATGTGTTTCTGCACCATGGTCAAGTGGGAACCAATTCCTCCTGTGTGTTCACTCATATTCCATTCACACACTCGCTTCCATTTGGATGTATGGTATCTGTAAATGCTCTGTCAATATAAAGGAAAGGACGTGGCCACCAGTGCGGATCAAGAAGCAGTGTGCAACACCATGTGCACACTTGCTACACTGTTCATGATGGCAGCCAACCTCTATGTACTTGTACCACAGCGAGGGCCTAAGACTAGGACTACTTGCAGGACACGGCAACTCATCCAATTGCGACTGGCTGAAAGGCAGATAAAGCAAAGATTGCGTTACGCTAACGAACCAATCAGATGGCTTCATACAACTCGTTGCCAAAGGGTTGCCTACTTACAGAAATTCAGACTGCGACATCCCATACAATGGAAAAAGGCCTTGATGCTACGTCTCTCAAGCACCCACACCAATGGCATCTGGCGGCAGGATCAACGGTGGTCACGCTGGCGGCTCCAGCTCATCCAGATGCAACGGCTATCAGACTGGGTAGCTTCCAGACAATTGGGGATTTTCCCAATCCTCAAATAATTAATTTGACAGCAATCCCCATGCCAAGGCTGGGAAACTTCACTTGAATTGTATATAACATGTCACTTAATTCATTGTAAGTACTCTAGGTATTAAATGAATAAAAAAAAACAGTCTGGATCCCAGTCCCCACTTCTCTGTCTGTCAACCAGGCATGGAGCTGGGCTCCGGAATCCAGACCGACATTGCGTTTGTTCCCTTGTGTCGAACGGTAAACAAA